GCGACAAAAACACACTGGATGTGTTGGCGACGATTGGTATCTACCAGGATGGAGTCATGAAGAAGGACGTTGACGGGCGGGAAACCGTCGCCCACGTTGTAAGTTTTGCTTCTTTCCACTTTTCCTCCGCTGCCGCCGTTGTGCAGACCGCCTTTGGACCATCGGGGATCGGCACCGCAAGGAGTCCGATTGTGTACTGACCGTCGCAGTTTGAATATACTACCCAATTGTCCGTCACTCCGACGCAGCAGTTGATTCGGCCCCAGGGCAATGAGTCGACCAACTTCCCCCCGGTGCAGATGATCTTCTGTCTCAAGCAGAAGAATAGCAAGAAGATCAACTCCCACCGTTGGCTGTTCAACGCCTTCAGTCGTATCTTGAACCCGGAAGTCGTCATTCTGCTGGATGCCGGTACCAAACCCGGTCATAAATCTCTGCTTGCTCTCTGGGAGGCCTTCTACAATGACAAGACACTCGGTGGAGCCTGTGGTGAGATCCATGCAATGCTGGGACAGGGCTGGCGCAAGGTCGCCAATCCGCTAGTCGCTGCGCAGAACTTCGAGTACAAGATTTCTAATATTCTCGATAAACCCCTGGAAAGTGCATTCGGATATGTCAGTGTCTTGCCTGGTGCATTCTCTGCCTATCGGTATCGCGCTATCATGGGCCGTCCGCTGGAACAATACTTCCACGGAGACCACACGTTATCAAAGCGTCTTGGAAAAAAGGGTATTGACGGCATGAATATCTTCAAGAAGAACATGTTCTTGGCCGAGGATCGTATTCTCTGCTTCGAATTGGTGGCCAAGGCTGGCTTCAAGTGGCATCTCAGTTACGTCAAGGCGTCCAAGGGTGAGACTGATGTTCCGGAAGGCGTGGCCGAATTCATCAGTCAAAGACGTCGTTGGCTAAACGGTTCTTTTGCCGCTGGTCTGTATTCCATCATGCATTTCGGTCGTATCTACCGCAGTGGTCACAGTATCATTCGCATGTTCTTCCTGCACATTCAGATGATCTACAACGTGTGTCAACTGATCATGACCTGGTTCTCCCTTGCTTCTTACTGGCTCACTAGTTCCGTCATCATGGATCTGGTGGGTACGCCGTCTACGAGTAACAAGAACAAGGGTTGGCCATGGGGCAACGATGCGTCGCCCATTGTCAACAACTTCGTCAAATACGGTTATGTCTGGGTTCTTACGCTGCAGTTCATCATGGCTTTGGGTAATCGGCCGAAGGGTGTCAAAATTCCTTACATCCTGTCCTACCTTTACTTCTCCCTCGTCCAGTTGTACGTCCTCATCCTGTCGTTCTACCTGGTCGTGGGTGCCTTTAACGGTGGTATGATGGACTTCAACTTCGACGAAGGCGTTGGCACATTCCTCTCCTCGTTCTTCAGCTCCAGCGGTGGTGGTATCGTCCTGATCGCTTTGGTCTCCACCTACGGAATCTACATCATTGCGAGTGTCCTGTATATGGATCCCTGGCACATCATCACCAGTTCCTGGGCCTACTTCCTGGGTATGACGACCTCGATCAACATCCTGATGGTCTACGCGTTCTGTAACTGGCACGACGTTTCATGGGGTACCAAGGGTTCGGACAAAGCCGAGGCCCTGCCTTCCGCGCAGACCAAGAAGGACGACGACAACAAGCAGAACTTCATCGAGGAAATCGACAAGCCGCAAGCTGATATCGACAGTCAGTTCGAGGCAACGGTGAAGCGGGCGTTGTCGCCGTGGATCGAGCCAGAGGAAGAGGGCGGCAAGAGTCTGGACGATGCGTACCGCAACTTCCGTACTGTGCTCGTATGTCTGTGGGTGTTTAGTAACCTGCTCGTGACGCTGTTGATCACCGCCACTGGAGTAGACAAGATGTGTCTGACGGTACGTTTCCTCCCTGTTCTCTAGTAAAGCTATAACTCGTAACATCATCTAACGAAATTCCAGAACACTTCCACCACCCGTACATCCTGGTACTTCGAGGTCATTTTGTGGATCACGGCCGGTCTGTCGTTGTTCCGTTTCATCGGCTCGCTGTGGTTCTTGGGCCGGTCGGGTATTCTGTGCTGTGTGTCCCGGCGCTAATTGCGATCGCGTTGGGAAAAGAGAGCGCGCCGAGACTTATTTCGCTATATACCTATCCACCTACCTACCTATCCTGCATGATTATGTCGTGTTATCCAGCGCGTGGTTCCATGGGATTGTACATTTATGGACCTGTTTGAGTGTTGATCTATTTTGTTTCCCCTTCTATGCAATGATAATAATAGAGCGGTTTTGATCTATTGGTGAAATTGTTGGAATTTAGAATAGCTGAGATGATTGATAAAAGAATGACATGACCAATTGCATACTACCAGTTCACCGTGAGCGCAGAGTATTGAAATTCAACGGATACTATTCCCATTCGAAGAAAGAAAACAATAGCGCCAATGTAACCACAGAATCACCAGCTGTCAGCAAAACAACCGCCCAACCAAGCCCAGACCCATCAGCCTACCCAGCCAAAGCCAGAGCCAGCTCCAGCTCCAACTTCAAGCATACTAACCAACCCCACCCGAAGCTGCAGAACTTCGTTCCAATAAACCTTCTCACAGGGAAACACAACTACCAACCATTCCATTCACCATCCTTCTTCCCCAATGCCTTCTTCACAGTGGCACACCCCTCCACATCACCCGCATGGGCCTCAAGAAGCGCCTCGAGCGACAGCCTAGTAATATCGCACACCTCCTGAGACGAGATATTGCCCACCTCAATTTGCAAATCAAGACAAGCCTCATGGAAACAATGAAGCTTCGCACACACCGCGTCCATCTCGGTCCGAATATCCTGTGCTTGCTCCCCGAGAGCCATTAGCTTATCAGCGATATCCTGAAAGGCCTTGAAGTTCTTCTCATAGACCTTCTCACCCTGCTTGATGATGTTGAGAGTGGTGTCTACCCAGGGTAGATTCTCGCGAGTACCACCCCATCCGTCGGACTTCTGCTCGAAAGGCCTCCATTCACGGAGGTCGTCTTCGGTGCCGATGGTCGATTCCGCTTCGGCAGCAGCGGTGGCGGGAGTGGTTGCGGATTCGAGTTGTTCCACCAGGACCTTGAGATTGGCGAGGAGGTGGGCGGGAATGGTAGGCTTGGTGGTGGTGGTCGAGGTAGTGGTAGTGGTGCGCTTCGCGTCCCGGGTTGCAAGAGTCGGGGAGAGTATCGGACGTTTCTTCTGGGGAGTAGAGCTGGAAGATGGCCAAACAACGGAGGGCGCGGCGGAGGAGGTGGAGGGAGTCATGGCGAAGGGGAATTTGGTTGACGCGGCACGGTTGTTCAGGGCTTTGGAGATGGAGTCCTTAAAGCTCTCGCGCTTGATCTTGGTTTTGGTGTCGTCCATGGTTGATGGAGATGATTGGAGTGTATGAGGTAGATTATGATGATTGAGAAGATGGGGAGATTGGAAGCGAGGTGTGAGTGGATGGAAGAGGGAGGAAGGAAGAGAGGAAGAGATGAAGGTGCCTTTTAAGGTAGGCAGCCAGTGTTATTTAGGTGAAAGAATCTTGAGGTTAAGTGGTGGCCGTGGGATTAATTCACTTCTTTCTACTTCACTCTATGGAGAGTGCTTTGTAGGTGTTGGGAATGTTTGCCATAGTCATGCCTGATGGCTAATTTGAGTTACTGCAGTTAGATTCTCTCTCGGTCAAAGTATACTACTACTCTAATGGAAAATGCCAGCTTGACTTGCATGTGTTGGAGGTGGTCGTAGATGAGTAGTCATGGTGTTTAGTGAATTGAGAGCTAGTAGATTGTTGTTGCTTTGACATATACTGTAGCGGCCAATGTGTCGCGCAGGAAAAATTATATTCTGCTAGTTATATTAATATGGGTGTTCAGGTAAGCTCGGGTTTCCTCTATTTAGAGACAGTGATTCCTTCGTGGTCTCTCATGGTCTTTGGTGTGGGGCGCTCGAAAGGTGCAGCAAAGGAGAAAGTACTCCGAAAAGATCCATTTATAACCTCAAATGCTGGGAGCGAATGCCTTCGGCCTTGATATAGTTCTATTTTATCTGCATGTATACTGCCAGTGGCGATTTCCCAACGCGGGTTGAAGAAGCCCCGGTGATTCCTTCCCTAAATCATGAATGACCATGATATGTAGTGGTTTTCTTTCTGGCCGATCCTGGTTGTAGCATCAAACCTCTATCAACACTATCACCCAACATATCCTTACGACAGAAATATTCTTTTGCGCGATGGACCTCCCAGTTTATAGTACAAGCCAGCCTTCGTTATGTGCCCTGCCCGTGGAGCTCATCCAAGCCATTCTTTGCAACCTTCCGGATCTCGAGTCCCTTAAATCGGCCCAATTGACGCATTCTGCGCTATACTTTGCCTTCATTGGCGCTGAAAGTCAGATTTTAAAGCAGATATTAGCGCAAAAGATTCCCACGGCGCTTTTACCAGATGCGTTTTTCGCCTTCGATGCATCCACTGTGGAGGGCGTGTGGACGCAAGATGAAGTGCACTCCATAATCTACCGGCATCGGACCCGCCAAATCTCTTCATCATTTCCTCTAAGCCCCCAGTCTACTTTCAAAATCACTGAATTATATCGCTGGGTTCGACATTTCACCAGACACTTTCTCAGGCAGGCAATAGCCGACCCAATGCAGGGGAGAACCCACCCGCCTATGCCTTTATATCAACCAACATCCTCAGAGGAGTGTCGAGTAGCAAGGGCGCTCTACCGTTTCGAGATCCATCGCCATCTTTTTAGGATGCGTGAGCCGTATGCGAATTATTCCAAGTGTTCACCGGACTTCCTGATAAGTGACCAATGGGGTTACTATTTCCGTCACTTCCCCGCGTGGGAACTTGAGCAGATACTGTCAGTCAGTGAGTATCTCTTTCGGAGGGTGGCCAAATGTGGGTGTCTCTTTCTTCCATTTCCTAGACCGGGTCACACAAGCTCCGAAATCTGATTGCTAAACAGGTTTGCGGCCATTCGCAGAGAATAGGACTTGGACCACCGAGGGTATCTGGTATTATTCCAGCAATGCCTACCTAATGACAGATCCATCGCCTGTAGGAACTCTAGTGAGTTCTACACAGACCCGTAGAGCCCATTCCATTGTGGATTGATCTGACCACAGTCAGCTATGCCACGGCCTGCGGTATATTGGGGATCTCGTCACAGCTCAAACATTTGGCCAGCATAACCTACTCGCCAACGAATTGTTTGGCAAGCCTTTCATGTCTTCGCTACCAGACATATTCAGGGCTATCTGGGAGTCTCAGAATGTATTCCACGCTTATCCATCACTTACATGCGAAGTCGAGGGGCAAACTATCGATTGGCAAGATACAGGATATGTCGGATCCGATCCGGGCCCAGCTAATGCATGGCATACGATGATGGCGGCAACAATCCCGAATGGAGGCGTATCTACGCAAGTTGGCCATCATTCTATGTGTGAGCTCCGTCGACAGGGTTATGTGTTCTGGGATCAGGTTCGTATCGAGGAATGGGGCCTCAACAGCAACACCATCGATATCCCTCTTTATTTTCCCAATTGGCAGCAGGAGCTACACCTTAGAGCGGCTAGCGCCTTGTACAGGCGGCCACACTTGTATTATAATGCAGGCGTGGGTAGCTGGTGGTACCCAAGAGAAATAGCCCCCCTTCCTGTCGTCCGATTGCCTCCGAGACAGTAGAGGAGCATTCTTTGGTGGCTGAAGATGAGTCACAGACATACTTTGCTATAGCGGAAGGCTACAACATGCCTGTCGGTCAGTGAATCTCACAGGCGGGTTCAAAACTCGATGATTGGGTTGGTATGGTAGGATGATTATATAGACATAGATAATGTAGGTACCTTCAGCACCGAAAATTTGACCGGGCATGGCGTTGATGGATATTCATACATGGTATATAACACGGGCCCAAGATGGTAGCGTAGTACAAAATCCGTGTCACTTTATCACTTTAGTTAGTACCGACCAGACGGGTGAAACCTCGCGACTAGGTTCAAACATAACCCCCACGAATCTCTACTGTAGGCACTAGGCAGACACAATCCTGGTGGCTGGCACTGCCACCGCGGGACGGACCCTGTGATGCATCTGAGACACGGAATTGCCGCTGTCTTAATTAGAGTTTGTAACCTCCCAATCTTGACAGACATAAGCCTGTCAATGTGTCAGAGGAACCTTCTAGCCAAGGATGAGACCGAATTTACAATTCGCGACCCAGCTGATTGAAGGCTAGGCAGTATGAGGAATATGCAGGAACGCCATAGGTACTACATGACAAATAGAGGAAACAAAGAATGACTATTGAAGAGTTGTTGGTACGACGAATAATCAAGCGCGGAAGAAGACCTGTCATGTCAGAACGAAACTCCCTTGCAGCAAAGCACCATCTTGAAAGTTGGGCTGCAGAGGAATCTTTATGAATCAAATATCTTAATGACAGGGTGCTGATCGTGCCAAGATCGTGTCAAAGTTCGCGAGGACCCTGACTGTGTGGTCTGACATGCCTTTCGGGCAGTGATCGTCGCAGGATCTGAACCTTGGATGATCCTTTCATGTATGTTTCCTGTTCATCCAAGATGAGGGTAAAACACGTGTGAGGATGAAACACCAGGTATAATGAGAATATGTACCTATAGCCGAGATGAAGAATTTCAAGAGTTGCATTGCATTCTGAAGGTCATCAACAAGCACACGCATACCCACACCCACACCCACACAAGTTAAGCACAAAATAACCGTAGACGATGCCGATCATCCTGTCTGCCTGCTCGTATTAGTCTAGAGAATAGGATCTGCCCCGCAGCGTTTACCCTCGGAGGAAGCTGACGTTGGCCAACCCAAAGAAGCAACACGGTGTGAAAGGCAGTGAGTCCCGTCGCCCACCAATCAAGTGGGGAGAAACTGCTCGCTACGTTGACCTCGATCTAGCAGAGTGTTCTTGGCGCTAAAGCCAACAGAGAGGGTCTGGCAGGAAAAAGCTTGTGTGGCGTAGACAAGTTAAGACACGGGCTAGAAGCCGAACAAAAAAGGGGGCCAGTCATTGACGAGTGGACACTCATTGCTGGAAATACCTCGGAAGCTTCCGAGCCAAGCTCGGGTCAAGCAATGGTTCAGCGTAGGCATCCATGAAATAAGGTTCCGCAAAGGGGAAATGAAGAGAAACAGATACCATGGGAACAAATAGTAAAGAAGTCCATCCTCGAGTCTGAGTCTGCCAGGTGATGGTGGTGGAGGGAAGATGACGGGCGGGATTGCGTGGTCAGCCTTATAGGGCGCGTGTATTGCTGCATCGGACTCCGCGGATTCCTCTCTCTTTGAACAACGGGATCGACTGAAACCTGGCTGCCTATTAGGTCCCTGATCCATCTCATCCTGTCTCCTTCCTACTACTAGTACGACTGCAGTGCTCGTGATAGTCATACTTATCTACACGCCATATCTGCAGATTCCCCCGCCATCTCCCCCCTAGTCATTTAGTCTCTCCTGTTCTGTTCCGTTCCCCTCATGAATCGTTCCATTTGACCGACTGCTATCTTGGCAAACCGTCACTCTTTACAGATTCATCTATATTTTTTTTACTTCTTGCTGCGCATCAGTCATCATGCGTACCCATTTGCTGTGCCTCGCGGGCGCCTGGCTGGCCAGCTGTGCTGCCAGTCCAGTGGCCAGTCATCCTGGTGATGCTTCCGTCCCCCAGATGGCTCTCAAGGACTCGCACGCCCCGTTCCCCGTCGTGACTGGCCATGAGATTCATATTCCCTGTGCTACGATCCCAGGGTCCAAGGAGGATGAGGCCAAGGATGCCTCTAAAGCATATCTGGTACGTGCGCCCGTACTAACGACGGTCGGAAAGGGTCCAAGCATCACTAACCTTGCCATGTAGGCGATGAAACTCCGCACGGAGAGCAATGCTCTATTTGTCAACGATGTTACCGTCTTTCCTAGTTCATTCCCCATGCATTTGCCGGCAACCCGATACCAGGACGCGTCCGGTCAAAATGCGGAGCATCTGCTCCTGCAGTACGCCATGGACATCGAATATATGGCCCCTCGTCCGGATGGGTCCCTGGTGCAAGAAATCTACCGTGTGCAACTCAAGTTCTTCGACCTTTCCGGCCGTCCTGCCACGACAGACACTGTCAGTGTTCGATTGTCGTCGCAGCAGTCGGGCGAATTGTACATTACTCAGATCTCCGTCGAGCCACTCCCCCACTACCATGACGCGCACGGCGATGGAAATTGTGTCTGGCACGCCAAGTACTGGAACTTGATCATGGAAAAGTACCGTACCTGGCGCGAGAAGAAAGGACACGGCGCCCACAAAGGACCCAAGTCGCAGGAGAGTGACAACCACGAGCACAATGATCACCACCACCATCCCAAGGAGCGACCAGCAACCCACGAGGGAGCCGAGGAGCGCAGACCATTTCTCAAGGAACGGCCCACCGCACACCAGGAGGATAAAGAGAACAGTCCAGAACTCCCCACGACGGACTCCGACAAAGCTGCGCCCGACTCCCCGTTCCGGGTGTATGGAGTGGACAAATCTCTGCGACCGACGGTTTTGCGTAACAAGGATTACCGCCGGGACTTCTGGCGACTCGTGGTGCCTGCCATCATTCCGGGACTTTTGGGGGCCGTTGCTGGATTGGTAGTGTGCACGATGGGGTTGCTTCTCTGGAAGATTGTGGCATGCACGTGTGTCAGTATGCAGCAGGGTCGGAGATGTCGGAAGCGTTGCCAAAGGAAGCAAGGCGTGTTCTTATCGGAGAAGCAACGACTGCTGCAGCAAGACGAGCTGAGTGAGGCGTAGTCCCGTTACCCTACTTAGTATTAAGTAGGGATGATGGTAATCCTGCGTGGGGGCTGAGTCGGTCGCAGATGCACGGCGAGATTTTTTAATGGATGATGTAAATAACATGAGACAAGCTGAGTAATGCACATTATTTGCTCCATGTGATAGTTTATCGTCTTATATTAGGGTGTGATACAAAGATGTCTCCAGTAGATGAATTGAAAGCGGGGTTTGGGTTACTAGTTACTGGTTAGTCCGGGAAACCTGAGGCCTGCAGGAAACTATTGGAATATTCCCTTGGCGACCGTCACTTTGAAGGAGAAAGAGTTAGTAGAATGGTGGAGGTAGTAGTAGTAGTAGTAGTGGTGGTGGTGGTGATGGAAGAAGAGCCTTCCGATTTCCGAACTGTCTCATCCGGTGGTTAGTAATAGATAACTGAATGGGCAGTTGTTGTTACTCAAAGGAAGCAGGGGGGAAGGGCTGTTGCCTGGACTAGCAGAGACTGCATCATCCACTGGCCCCAATGAATCCCTTCCCTTCCCTTCCCTTCCGTGCGTCATGGCTCCCCCTCAAAACCGGTCCTCCACATCTTGCTTTCTTCTCTGCTGAAAATAAATAGCCAATACAACTGATCCATTTCTGCGATGATCATCCCTTAAAGATCCTGATTGGCGTGGAAAATACGTATGTCGCTGCAGGGCTGGCGATACGCCGGGGAAGGGGGGCAAAACCGAGTAGGGTAAATTCCCAAAATGATCCACGGGCGGAAATAACCGGCTACTACAGAAATCCTTCACAATACTACTAATCATACTAATGAGTACACTACTCTGTGCTTTTACTTTTTCGAGTCGAGAGAGATTACGGAGGACCACCACTGGCTTGGTCTGGGTCTTATCATTGGACAAGCCTTGTCACGAAGCTTGTCCAGAAAGCTTAGTTGACCGCCAGTGGATGCTCTCTGATTGGGAGTGTGGCTATGAGGTGTTCCACCTCATCACAATAATAAGTATTATTCATTAATAAACCCATGTATGGAACCATTTGAATGGCTGGTTCCTGAGCCACCGATCATCCACCGTGTCTGATCCACTTCAGTTACTACTTTGTACCACTTATTCCTTCTCGGCAGGGCTGAGCCAGTGATGTCACCTCCACCTGCAACCGATGCAAGAATAGCAACCACCAACCAACTGGGAATGGTCGACTGACTGACTGTCTCTCCTCAGCTTCGCCCGCCCAATCCTTTCTAACCCACCAGCGGTCGACACGATCTTTCGGCGCCTAACGGTGAGGTCATCACCTCGCCCATCTTCTCCTTGGATGCTAATAGGGCTGACCGCTGGGCCCCCCGACTCCCCAGATTGCAAAATGGCCAACGGATAAATACTACTAACTGCCCCCGCCCGGTACCTATTCTTCTTCTTTCCATTCTTTAGCATTTCAGATACCCTTTCGCCTTCCCTCGGATAACTCCTTATCTACCCGTATGACTCCGGCTTAAGTCAGCTTCTCCCAATCTCCCAACTCTCCCATTGCCGAAAGAGCAAAAAAGCAAACAAACCCCAACAACAACACCCACCGCCAATATGTTCGACTGGTTCAAGTCTTCCAACAAGGAGTCTGCTACCCAGCAGCCCACCTGGAACCCCCACACCATGACCATGCAGCAGCCTTCCGCCCCGGAAGCTCCCGTAACCGAGCAGGTCGTCACCGGTCAACCCGTGCGTCCCACCCATCTTCAATCCCCCTTGCAGCACAAAAACAAATCTAACATACCTTTAGGGCCAGCAAGAGACGATGCAGATGGGCCTGCGTGGTGGTGGTGAGGGTGAGGATGTTTGCTGTGGCGTGTATGTTTATCTTCCTATCCTCTAACATGCTATTGATCGACACTAACCATGCGATAATAGGTGCGCCGGTCTTTGCTGCTTCGAATGCTGCGAATGCTGTTGCTAGATGAGATAATCACCCGGATAGACCATCTTCTATACTACGATCCTTAACGTCCATGTACTGTTAATATTGCTCGCATCATGACTATACCATGTTTTTAGCCTAGAGACTGAAGTGATAGAAGGTCCGCGTCCTGGTCTTCATAAACCAATGTCACAAATACTTTACAATATGCTCTTATTTCATTTTACTTTTACTCTTTCCATACTTCTTTGCATCGAATCTCTTTAATACCCGGTGGTCTCTATCAAGGAACGGTATGGTTCATTTGATGCATTGGCCCACACAGTGGAAGGCCAAGGCAATGGAGCACCTGCCAAAGTGCCAAGATCGAAGTGATTGCGGATTTGTTGTCGATCCCGATGACCAAAAAGCTTATTGTTGGGACTTCGCTGAAAGAATAGTAACATATATATAGAAGGTTATTTTCTAGACCACCGTCAATTGTGGATCGCCTTCAAGAGTAAGTGTTGTCGGTGCCAATCCATATACAAAAAAGTTAATTTGATCCGTGACTTCACTGACAGATATATATCTACTAAGTACTAACTAATAGAGACTACTCTAGTACTAATGTTAGTGAGATAATCCTCTCATGAATCGATTCGTCAAAGAGACAGCCAGACTACTCAAGTGGACGACAATTTAAGATAGTTACCAATTACTACAGAGAATGAATGCTACCTCTGGCTAGCATCCACCTTCAAGTCTCCCAAGTCCCAACACCGAGGGGAATATACGGTGGTATCTCATCCCATTAACGTGGGGCGCAGCTGTGGAGTGACTCGCGCCGAAGGCAGCTTGGCACTTGATGCACAGCGCCCTGCTCTAGCCGAGACATCCGACCGGGCCGTTATCATGTATGTCCATTAAAGGGCTTGGATTGTCCACGGAGAATTGATCTTAGCACTGTTGCTCCTGTTCGTGAACGGTGATCCTCGCCCCACGGCTCGTCCGAGTAGCATCAGGCTATCTTACTGCCTCCTCACCATCTATGCGCCATTTTCAAAGGGATCAATGCTTTGTTGAACACTAGAGCAAGGCTGAAAGAGTGAGACTACAACTACCGTGACTCGGACGTCGCTCGGCTAATCGCTGGCGAAGCAGGCAGTCATCTGGTGGTGGCAGAGCAGACCAGAGGGACATTAGACGAACCAGAATCAATAGCGCTAAACTCGAACCAATTATCATGAAAAGTTGCTGCACCCATTTAGGAAACATGCAATTTCCCATGCAGCAACTAGTTCTGACAGATAATTCGCGCCGAGGTCCAACCGTCGTTAGTTGCATTGATTCTGACCTCCGTGACTGATCCGGCTAGCCGCACTTGAAGCCCTTTTTCCTGACCCGTGAGTATAGACCTTCCACAACTTCGACGTTGCAACAATTATCCAACCATATAATACCGACCCCCATGGATCGAAAGGCAAATAAATTCAGTGATTGCCACCAGCCAGAACAGACCTTTGTGTCGAAGCGAAGAGGTAAATGGGCCTAAGGGTCCTTAGCCTGGCGCTAAGCACTCTCATTTCCAGCGCTAAATGACATCCGAATGCTACGAAGTGAGACATACCCAATCAGCACATCCCATGACAGTCATAGCGGCCCCGGGGTTCTCGTAATAGCGGACCCTATCCGGAGAGAGGTCTGAACAAGGCGGCTCTACAGAATCTTTTTGATGCCCATTCGACTGTCTACTCGCTTGAGTCATTTCCCAAAGCTACCAATGTTGGGGCCGTCAGCATGACCTGAAAATGAGATGAGCTTGGCTCTGCAGCCAAGGCTATAGAAAGGGGGATAAAAGCGCCCCTCTCAAGCCTTTACCCCTGATACTACACCCCATTCATCATTCACTCCTCTCTACGGAGTACTATCAAACAGCAAACCTCATCCAAATCTCAGAACCCCGAAGACAGATCAAGATTCATCTCAGCAGCCACCATGCGCACCTCGTACCTCCTCGCCGCCGCCCTTACCCTCCTTGGCGGTGCTCACGCCGACGACGACAGCACCACAGTAGTCGGCTACTTCAGGCCCTATTGGTCGGTGGACCTCCCTGAATACGGCGGCTGGACCAGCACCGGCGCCAGCGTCGCAGGCATCAATGCCGTGAAAACCACCTACAAAATGAGCTGTCTCAAAGACGCCCCCAAGACAGACTGCGACATGAAGGACGCATACACTATCATTCAAGGCCCGGAAACCGTCAGTGTCAGCCAAGTATACACTGCTTCGACGTCGGACAAGACCACCAGTTTCGATGTCACCGTGACTCTGTCATACGAATGCTCATTAAAGTCATGGACTGAATCGGCGAGCTGCACCATGAGCGCGGGTTTCAGTGGAAGTGACGATGGCGCGACGTACGCTTCGTCGACGTCGACCAAGTCTACCTATGAGAACCCGACTAGCAGATTCTATTCCCTTGTTGTCACGGGGGGTGTCAAGTCATTCACCGAGCCTGCCGCTACGAAGACCCCTGATGCTGCTGCTGGTGTCGGGGCTCCTGTTGCGGCCATGATTACGGCGGCGCCTGTTGCGGCCGCTGCTATGGTTGCTGCGGCTTGGGTTTAGGATCGACCAGTGGAAATATTGAACTGGTTATGGAAAATTCTCTGATCGTTATCGATTGTAATGTGGAAGGATCAAATGATACTTGTGGTAGCACTGCAGTTGCTATCTAAGTATTCCGTTGTTGTCTGCTTGTTGCTTTACCATGGTTTATGTGTCGCTCCTTGTATACCCCGATTTATCAGATAATTGAATGCTATTACGGATGCATGCCTGACTTCTTTGAATACTGTTATCTGACCGATAGTGTAACCAGGACAATTGCAAGAGGCTTGGACTTCGTCTAACCTAAGTACTGGCACAGGGGAACCGTAGATTTTTAGGTAACTGCCACACCGACAGAGCAGGATAGTAAAGCAGTAACGCTCGTCATGCTTCCCTGGCAACATCATACGTCTTAAAAGTGCTGACACGTATCAAATAAGCAAGCAGAGAAACATCTCTGAATCGATACTAGTTCAAGTACAATAGCAGTGGCCCCAATGGCCTAGAAATGCACACCCACACGAGACACCAGATTCTGCCACCTCTTCTCCAAAGCGGTCAAAAAACATACAGAATGCTGACTAGTCATTTCGGGGTTGTTCAAAAATATATCCGTCTATATCCGTCTATATCCGCACTTTTCTTCGCGAGGTCGCTGCGGTTCTGCCGCTTTTGGCGGTCGAATAAGCGGTCAGATCTGGCAATACTGTGCTTGGGTCTATACTACAGCACACCCATGGTGAACTCTCGGATATTCTCTTAGGTAGTAGCTATACCCAGAGGTGTCCCCAGGACCTTTTTCTCTTTATACAGACATACTCCGAGCTACTTCTTCTCGCGCCATAGAGAACGGCCGTGCTTTGGCGTACTTCTCAACATCATCTATCAACACTTTCCCATTCTCACCCGACATAGCGGCGACTTTTGCCTCGGCACTGGCCCAGGTCACATTAGCTTGGAGGCAGTACGGTGCATCAGGAGGGAATGTAAACGCCTCCCATGAGAGGAACACATCCTTGCCACAGAGTCTTTCTGCTAAGGGTATGTGGACATTGATGAAGTAGTCCAGATTGACTTCTGCTTCGCGGGGGTATAGGACCTATGGTATCTATCAGTGACGTTATAGACGTGGACAATGGTGGGGGAGAAGGTACTGTGTATGTAATGGGCATTTTTGGGAAATGGAAATTTTCGGTAGGGTTGGAGTACTGGCCAATATCAAGAATAGTCAGTCAAGAATAGACGGAAGAGACACAAGAGTATGCTTTTGTAGTGCTAACCCTATTTTAGACTGGTTGCGGGTTAGAGGTTAGGAGTTGGGGGTCTTGTGATTGAGGACAGCTGTCTGATCTGATGATGCAGCAGGATGGAAAAGGCTATCATCATAGTTGCTTTGCTGCTGGTATGTTTGAGTGGCATTCCTATGATCGACTAGACGTCCTACTCCGTACGTTATTAGGCAAATCATGGTAGTCACAGAATACGAAGTGCAGAAGTACTATGCTTGAGTTTGGGTGGAGCTGAGCAAAATCGGTGATTACTTGTAGGACACAAGGGTATCGTTTAGGCATGGTAGGTTTCCGAAAGGGGCAAGAAGCGTCGGAAAGAAAGTAACATAAGGAAGTTGGGGAAACACAGCAGCGATCGTCTTATTTTCACCTCCTCCACTTCTGAATGGGGGCTCACTTACGCGTGCTTCTTGACTTGGCCCTGGGCCCTGGGTCCCTTGCATGCATCATAATGACAATTTACTATCGCGGCTTTCGGAGGGATACTCCACAACAATCGACAGCAGAAGACGGCCACCTCCATCGGTAGACTATATGGCTATTCCCTGGCTAGCCTCTCTCACTCGGAGCTTCCATCATGGGTCAGAAATGTTCGTACCACTAGGAACGACCTCAAATCCTCAAATTCAGATCTGGGAAAGCTCGCTTGGCACGTTCGGGAAGAGTTCCCAGGAAATGCCCCCATTCAAAACGACACTGCTCACAGAGCTGCACACCTCCAAAGCAATGATCTCTTTGAGCACCGTAGACCTCACGATATATACACTCAGGGCAATGCTGGTTGTTGGCCCTATCAAGGTAGTCCGCCAAACCACGGAACATAAACTCATTGCTTCTACCTATTGTAATGCTCAATATCTTCGACTACATCGGTCTTTCTCCTGTCGATACGGTTCCAAAGCTTCTTGTTAAGACGTGTCTGGTTGATAACCTCTTTGGTCTCACTCTTGCCCACTGTAAGGTCCTCCTCCACGAAGCGGTACCGTCTCATCATCATATGGATGGGGCCACCAAAACTGCGCAAGAAGTTGGTAACAGCCAGATGCCCAGGTGTACCAGCCATTGCCAGATCTATCGCCCAGAGAACTTGTCGTGCCCGGTGAAAGGCCTCAATCCGATGGTCTTCTGGCATGTAGGCAAAGGTACTGTTGGTTTCTCCCTCAGAGCGATGTTTATAAAAAGCCACGGCGTCATACATTGTATCGCCGATCTCGCAGAGAATATCATATTGCGCATCAGTAAACCAGATGTCAAGGAGATCATTGCAAGCAAGGGCAGAGGCTATAGTAAATCGAGCCAGGGCATCACAGTCTCGCATCCGAAACCACTGCTGTGGTGAACTGACAAGAGCGTTGACATACCGGCGGGACAGTTCGCTGTTGGCGTGACTGACTTTCTGAGATGTGATAAAAAGAAAGGTTTTATATTCGCGGGCCATATCAAGATGCCCCGGGGTGCCGTGGAAAAGTTCAGCCAGAACTTCATCGGGATCAAGATTGAGAATTTTGGATCCAGCAGTGACGTCAATCATGGTACCCTGAAACTCGGCAATGATTCCCATGATAATGATGCCCATAAAGGCAATATAGCGCTTCCAGTTCGTGTAATGTGGGATTACAGACCGCGAGTACTCCCAAGCGCACGCCAGGGCCTCGTCTCTGGTTTCTTTTGGCAGGTCAATCCCATCAAGGTCATGGGCGATATCATCGGGGTAGTACCATTCGTTCTGGATCGTCATCTTGGCTTGTCTTGAACAATTCTAGCTTTGGACCTTTTGATGTTCAAATTGATATCATGGCTTGCTCAGCCTTTAACTAGTACCCTCTATTTACCTGAAGGTTACCGTCACACGCCAGATTTATAGAGATACTGGTGCATTGTCTCGACGCGTATGGGTCTATGTTTTTTCTTGCAAACCAGTCTCATGACGTGGGTTACCCTTTCTAGTTACATACATTAACCGCATTTGTTCCGACCCCTGCTGGCACGGAAATGCTGTCCTATGTGTGGCTGGCGAATATTATACGAGCAACTTGAAAGATATCCCTTGCGTTCTGTTACCGATCGGGGTCCTCTCCGAAGATATGCATATTCGTGGCAGCTTTTAGAATGACAGGAGAACTAGCTACTCTAGGCCTTTAGGTTCGTGTGAAGTTTTTCTGAATGCCTAGTATACCATTGATCTTCGATTTAGCTTGAAGTTTCATGTTCATTCAGTAATTGATTGCAATTATACGCTTGCAGAATGTGCCTAGTAAATGACTTCTTGATTGTAGTGCTGACTATGCAATCATACCAACGATGTTGAAGATCACCCTGCTGCTGAGGGTTCTGCAACATCAGACAGACGGCTGCAAGAATCCATGCAGAGTATGCACCATGATACCCACAATAATAGCGTAACTCTGACCGGGTCTTCGTCATCATGCCGAAGGATTTTCTTGGAATGCTGCTTACAAGCCACCCTGCCAAATTGAAAGCTAACCGTCTGAAGATCCAGTCTATTAGTCTATTGTGGTGAGTCGATCGCGATGTGTCAATCATGTATCCCTCGCGTCTCCATACCCTCCGCTCCACCACACCATTTTGTGCAGAATGGCATGACGTAAACAGGTTACCCCAATGACCAGAGTGCAGATGTGCACGACGGGTTATAGGCTAGATGCACAGATATTGGCTCAGATATGTATGCAGGAGCATATTCATGTCAAACTCAGTCAAGAGATGATGTCCTATGCTAGGTATAGAGAAAGCATCTTCTTCACTCTCCACCGCGTTGACTGAAATATCTACTTTCGTACCATTCCCCTTCAACTATTTTGAGACAGACTACACCCTCACCATGGATTTCTACAATCTTGCCGCTTTGACAGCATTCGCCTTTTTGGGATGGTATACCCTTACTTTCGCCCTAGCGTGGTATCGACTCCGCAAGTTTCCAACGCCCAGCTGGCTAGCCCATTTCTCCTACCTCTGGCTCGGGAGGTTGACATATAGCGGAAAACAGTATTGGGTACACCGCGAGCTACATCGGAAATATTGCCCGCTGGTTCGGATTGGTCCGAACGAAATCATGACCGATGACCCGGACATCATCCGCTCCATGTCATCAACTCGAAGCACATTCACTCGCGGTGAATGGTATCTCACTGGGCGATTCAACCCGTACTACGACATCCTGTTCACTATCCTAAGTAATGACGGACACAAGAAGGCACGAGCACGCGTCCATGCAGGCTACTCCGGTCGTGAAACCGGGGTTGCTCTAGAACATGGGGTTGATCGCCAGGTAACCCGATTAACTGATCTGCTACGGCAGAAGTACGCTGTTCATGGGGATGATGCGCCACTTGTAAACATAGTCGATGTTAGCTCCTACTTTACCATGGATGTTATCACAAAGCTGGCCTTTGGGCAAGAATTCGGCTTTCTCCAGGCGGAGAAAGATCGTTACGGCTTCTTCAAAGAAGTACACTCCCTCTGGCCGCAAATGTCTACAGTGGCAGATGTTCCGTGGATTCGAAGGATCATTTTCTCCAAGCCGTTCCTGAAATTGTTAGGTCCACGCTCAACGGACTCTCATGGCTTCGGTGCGTTGATGGGGCAAGTACAGGTCACTTGTGAGTCGACTTGCAAATGTGCTTACAGCCTGACAGGGTTGCTCGTGAACATGTGCAGGAGAAGTTCTCTACCCTGGACAATAGCAAAGGGGATATGATGGTATATTGTACTTAAAGCATTATTTTACGATGGACTCGAGTCCTAACAGCGATGTAGGAAACTTTCATCCGCCATGGATTGACTCAGGAGGAGTGTGAAGCCGAGGGGCTCTTCACAATCATTGCTGGAACCGAAAGCACCGCCTCTACTATACGGTCCATCTTGATTCACACCATAAGTTCTCCTGTTGTCTACTCAAAACTCAAGAACGAGGTTCTCGAAACTATCAGAAAGGGGCCTGTCAGCAGCCCTATTAGCAACAAAGACGCCATAGACCTCCCGTATCTTCAGGTTAGATCCTTTTATTATCCCTAACTTACAAAAGCCTGACCAGACTGATTTAATAATGGGACATTAGGCCGTTATTCTCGAAAGCATTCGCATGCGACCGCCCATCCTGGGGCTCTTTCCCAAAGTCGTGCCCTCAGGCGGTGTTGAATATCATGGACAGTTCATTCCCAGTGGCACCAATATTTGCTTGAACACATCGTCTCTTTTACATTCTAAATCGCTGTTCGGGAATGACTCCGAGGTCTTTCGACCTGAACGCTTTATGGATCAGGATGAAGATACCTGCAATGAGCGGAAAAGAAACCTTGAACTAGCCTTTGGCCATGGACAGAATCAATGCCTGGGTAAGCACATTGCCTTTATGGAGTTTGCAAAGGTAACATTCGAGGTACGTATCCTTCTACTTGAGACCAATTAGACACTGTTTGCTTACTAGTCTTGTAGTTATTCCGCAATTTCGATTTTCAGACAGTGAACCCCTGGCGAGTGAACCATGAGGTGCAGAGCTATGGTGCTTTTCTTGAGTCGAATATGAAGCTGAGGGTAACTGAAACTGGACTGTGACTTACTAGTCGGTGTTGTTCATGCATAAGGACGAATGGTTCTTTACTCGACTACGATAATGTAAAACCTTTACCTACGTATCTACAGTTTTATTTCAGACATAGTATTGTCTTGGATATGAATAATTCACAAGCGATATGTCGCAATCCACAGTTGAACTTACCCAGTAGAGTACTATTTATTCCAGCAATGGGTATGCTGAAGACCGGACCTGTTACATCATGCTGCGATGTGTGACCTTGCTTTTTCAGAGAAACCAGCGGTCACCATTTACTGGACCTAGTATAGGGATGAGGATGACGTTTTCTCTTGGACGTACCTTTTCGGCGCATTGCATCTTTACGGCATCTAAAGTCAAAAGAAGCAAGATGTGGTCGATCATGGTGTGGTTGGACATATGCACCTTACCCAAAGAGGTGAATGCACTGAGCGCTGCGTACAGTATCCCAGTAGCTTGGATATGGCTGTGGTAGACGAGCGATTGAAGACGTAGGAAAGCAGGGGATATCATGATCTGAGATAACCATGGGCCCTTCCACTCGGCAGTGGGCTACGCGATTACGTATGGGCCTCGATATATGCATCTGTCGAATATTGGGAATGGTGAATCCGAAGGTTCTGTCAAAAGTGTGGTGTATCGTAGAGTATGGTTAACTTCATCGGAGCATAAATTTGTTGCTGCGTTGGTCAGCCGGCATATGACAACAACTATGACAGAGAGAATTAAGAGACTAGGTTTCAAGCTTTCTTCGTTCCCAACCATGCCAGCATCTTGCCGAATGACTATATAGTAGACCGGATTGTCTATGCAAGGGATTTATTACCTTCCATAAGAAGGATCGCATAGCATTCTTCAGGATGAAAAGTGGTCAACATTTCCATGTTAGACATTTCGAACATAAGTGTAGTCAGCTACCCTATAGCCCCCCACGAAAAGCTATTTCGTACTCTTCACAGAAGTAGTCCAGCATGTCCTTTGTTATCCAGACGATCGTACTTCTCTACGTGCTCTACATTGTGATCTCCGCGATCCGCACCATCTTCTTCCATCCATTGGGACGCCTACCTGGTCCCAAGCTCTGGATTGCCTTTCCATTCTTCCAACATATCGCGGCAGTTCGTGGACAACTAGATCATGAATTGCGACGGTTCCATCAACAGTACGGTGAGGTAGTCCGCTACGGGGAAGACGAGGTATCATTCACCCCCGCGTCCGCCTGGCAGGCTATTTATGGACCCGGGATTGAGCTCCCTAAACCAATATACGCAGTGTACAGCAAGTCCGGAATCCTAAACGCCAACCTGGAGGACCACGCCCGAATTCGCAAGGCCATGGCGCTGGCGTTCTCGGTGGGCTTGCAAAGGGAGAGTATCACTACTGGGTAGCTCCGATCCTGGACTATGTGCGTATAGTTCCGCTGTTGCGGGCCAGGGACCTGTATCCATGGCTCGTGCGGGGCATCATGGCCATTCTTTCATCGAGTTTGACGGAAGCTCAGAAACGGCAGGATGCTCACACGCGGGCCATGGTGCAGCAAAGAATGCCCCGTGAGACCCATCGCAACGATTTCATGGAGTTCATGCTGCGGCCACGAGGGGAGAAAGGGGAGCTTAGTGTGACCGAGCTTGAAGCCAACGCTAATATAATCATTGCTGGCGGGAGTGAGCCGACGGCAACATTACTGACGGGGCTAACTTACTGGCTCCTGCGGACCCCGACGGCCCTGGTACGGGCGACGGAGGAAGTGCGATCCCAGCTGCTGACGGAGGAGGAAATCAGCTTTGTCAACTTGACGACACGACTTCCGTATTTGCAAGCATGCATTACCGAGACCTTTCGCATGTATCCCCCGGTGCCTACAGGACGGCAGCGGGTAACGCTGGCGACAACCAAGATCGCAGGACATCAGATCCCTCCACGGGTACGTCTCCTTCCCACCATGAAATGTGATCGTGACTGACGACGGCCCAGACCAAAGTAGCGGTTTATCAACTAGCAGCATACCAATCGGAACAGAACTTCCATGACGCGGGTGAGTTTCACCCAGAGCGATGGCTACCGGAGGCAAAAGATCCCTCATCCTCCTTCTACCACGACCAGCGGGAGGTGTTGCGGCTATTTTCTGTTGGGACGCGCGACTGCATCGGCCGGCAACTGGCGTATCGGGAAATTTGGGGCATTATGGCACGGGTGCTGTGGCATTTCGATTTGGAACTGGTACCGGGGCAGATAGAATGGAATATGCAACGGTCGTTTACCATTTGGGAGAAGGGAGCACTAGAAGTGTTCCTGCGTGAAAGACATCCAGCTAGTGTCGATGTACCAGATAGCACAAGGGTCTCCTGAGAGGGATTTATTACTCGGGTAAGCATTCAAGCTTTGCGAAGCTCATTGCGAGTTCTAGTTTCCAGAGAACAGGGCACACTGGATGGGAGAACGCATAAAGGTATACATACGTATGACCAAATAATGGGAGTCAGCCTTCAACGTAGATAGTGGTTTCCCGCTCCATCTGAGTCATTTGGAGAGGGGGGGGTCGCAGTAATCGAGTAAATGACTAAAGGGTTTACGATTATCGCATGTTGGACTGGAGTTCCTTTTCACGGCAGTAGGTCCAATTTGAATTTCGGACCTGCCATCTGGGATGACTCTCCGATGTAATCAGAAAAATTTAATATCAGGCGTTCGTATGCCCATGGTCGGTGGTAGCTCAGTGTTCTTTGCAGTAAGTTGTCAAACACAGCAATTGAAAGGATATCGCATCTGAGGAAAAGCTAGACAACAATGTAGGGCTACACTGCATATACATATCTTCATAATAGGATCCTGGAAGATGTGAAGAAATGAAGAGGGTGGGGGGAAAGAACTGCAAGGAGTATGTTACACAAGTTCTCATCGGGTCAGTGAGAGGCGCAAATCTATGCTTTTAATGGACAGACCCCTCAGGAAAAGAGTATCCCATAGTAATAGCAATTCCAAGTGGGGGGTCTATCCTTCCCCCCTTCATTCCCAAAGTATCCACAGCAGACTGTCGCATCAGATTCATCTTCACAATGACTATCCAACACCAGGCTAAGAACGAAATTCCTAGAATCTCCGGCAAGAGTGACCTCGACAAGGTCTGGCCAACCACTCAGGAACATGGGGCTGCCATCATCGAGGGCTTTCTTCCTTTGGACGTCGTATGGCGCTTGAATGTTGACGCCGACCCCTACGTCGCGATTAAAACAAGTTCGAGTGCCTCGAAAAAAAGATCATCCTAACCATGGGATATCCCCAACGTCCAAGTTTGTCAATGCTTTGAGCGGATTCTCATCCACATTCCGCAACGACGTCTTGAACATCGAGGCTCTGAATAGAGTATCCGAGGATGCGTTCAGAGTATATGGTGATTACTGGCTTCTACTGGGTGCGATAATGGAATATGCACCCACACAACCAGCTCTATCTTTCCACCGAGACATGAGCTTCAGCCATCCGATAGTCGACTATCTGAAGCGTGACGCACCATCCACTTCAATCATCTTTATTGTTGCCCTGACATCTTTCACGGCCGAGAACGGTGCTACCCACATCATTCTGGGCAGCCATAAGTGGCACTCCATTGATGGTGGCACGATAGATCAGGCTGTTCGTGCAGTGATGAACCCCGGAGATGCTCTGGTGCTTGTCAATGGCACGGTGCACTGCGGCGGCGCCAATATGACAGAAACCGAGTCTCGCCGTGTACTTTCCATCACCACAGGCATCAGCCAGTTCACTCCGCTTGAGAGTAACATGGCCCTCCCGCGTCCCATCGTGGAGAGTCTAACTCCACTAGCTCAGAGGCTTCTTGGATGGGCAAGTCAACGATCCTCTGCGCCACGTGATATGGGGCTGTTAACCATCCGAGGCAAGTCGATCAAAGAAACATTAGGATTGAGATCGGACCAGCCAATTGCATAGTATGGGTGAGAAAAACGTAAAAGTCAGTCATCCCAGATATCATACCGAAATATGATCATTCTGTTCTCACGTCTATTCTCCGTAAAAAGCCATATCATATGCAGTAGTAGTAAAGCATAGGACATATTGGTGATGGAGCCATCTTGATTTCTTACTGCCTCAGGCACTGAATAGTCGCCTCGGAATATGGCCGAGTTCCGAATGGGGCAAAATTATGGCGGTGCTAGTGTGGCGTACCTGAATATATGGCTAAGTATAACCAGAGATGGGGGATAGCTCAGTAAGGACCTTTGGAAGGTTACACAGTCGGCTGGTTAAGAATAAATGAGGCATATTTGTTGGAGGCAACCTGAAGAGCCAATCCTCGACAGCATTGGCTGGAGCGACCGGCAGATGTCTTATCCCGTGTGCAGAAAGAGAAGAGGGATACTACAGCAACAAACGACTATATAGAAAGAGAAAAGCACGAAAGTATCCATTATTCAGTGACTAGAAATAGAGTTGAGGGTATCTTTTCAGATGTAGCAATTTACTGTCCTACACACTTCGAGGCAATTACGCCCACTTGCCGATCAAGGCCATGATGCCCGCCCCCAACAACGTACAGAACACCATGTACAACAGCTTGGAGCGACGACGAGTGCGACACGGGTCGAAAATGAAGTCGCGTGCCAGCAGTTCCACTAGAGCACTGTAGATCAGCACTCCTGCTGAGATAGCATTGAACACTCCCTGCACGATCAAGGATGTCTTCGAGCCCGGGTTGTAGGCAGTGCGCAAGCCCAAGCCGATCGCAATCGAGATCGGAGTGGTCAGGCCATACGCCAGACACAGCAGGTGAGGGAGCCACTTGCGATGTCCAAAGGGAATGGCGGAAAGTCGGGCACCGATACCCAGACCCTCGAACGACTGGTGGAAGACTAGCACGGGGTAGAGGGTCGAGAATTCAGAACCGGTTACGCCAAGGTTGAGGCCGATGATGACCGAGTGGAAGATGATACCAAACTCGAGGATCAAGAAACCGGCAATCTGTTGTCTGAAGGAGCGTTCGCCTTGCTCGGACGAGGTTTCTGCGGAGGTTGCCGTGGGGGAGGTCTTTTCTGCGGACATGCGACCATCTTCGGGGTTGGGGTGGATATGCGCGCTGGTGGGATCACCGGAAATAAAGGCGTCCGTGGCGTTCTCCTCTCGGTGCATGCCATACTTGTTCTCGACGTAGACCTCAGCGGCGAGATCTAGAAGGAAGATAAGAGTGATGGAGCCGAGCACAATAGCGGCACACCAGGAGTATAGGGACCAGTTTCCGGAGACGCCAACGCAGGTCTTGGGTCCGATGCGCTTGTAGGCCGGGTCAAGCAGATGAACAAAGGCTGTGGCTAGGATGACGCCCGTACCGAAGTAACGGGCGAAGATGTAGACGTTGTGAGGGATCTTCCAGCGGGGCATGCTCTTAGCCACGACGGGGAAGAAGGTGAAGGCTGTGGAGACGAAGAGGATAACAAAGATCGATGAGATGCGGGCCCCCATATGACCGTTGTAGTCATTTTCAGAGATGGCATAGTAGCACAGCACGTCCTCTTTGCTGGCCGTGTGGAGGTTCACCTCGGATGCATTGAAAATAGCCATGGCGACCAGATGGGGAGAGAGGTTGGAGGAGAGCAATGAAGTGAGGATTGACTAGAGAGAGCATTATGAAAATCCAGCTGTAGATGGATCATCTTATAGCATACTGAGTGAGGACCTTGGGGTGTAGCTGAAGGAGATGGTGGTGTCTAGGGGAGTACCTGGCTTGACGATGGCGAACCAGGTGCCCTCCATTGTGGGCCGCAATAATCTCGACAAGCGTAGGCTGACAGGGATAGCCATTAACTAGGGTCTGACTGGATGGCTAGCCAGATTTGCCTCGCTCGACTCTTAACAAAATGCAGACATCCTCAATCATCTCAGCAGTTCATGTCCTTTCAATGGACCATCGCGTAGAAGCTCTGCATCTCTAAAGAGCCATTTGCTGACATTCCTGGCGATATCATTCGCAAACAAATTGGTAGGGCTGAGCAGCATCACCTCGTGAGCCGGAATGACAAGCGCCCTATAGGGCTGATGGGGATGTTGCTTATCTGCAGGCCAATCAAGCTGGCGAACAAAATGCGTAAGATGCAGCGCGGGTTAAGCTGTCTCCCAAGGTCCTCGCGCGGATTCCACTTTCCAAGGTTTGGGTCACTCCATGGTTCCGCCCTCGTAGGCCTCACTGGCTGAATTTTCCTAGTTGGCGAGAGTGCCGCCCCACGCTCAACCCATGCAGTCAGACAAGGTCGATTGTGTGTTTTTGCATCCACACGCGGTCCGGATACACACCTCCACCCGAGAACTCGGATCCGAAACCAATGAACGACCACCTGCTGGTGCCCTGGGATCTTAGCCGAGATGAGAATGCTCGAGCGTGGAGGGGGGAGGGGAGGCTATGGATTGTTATATTTCTTATGCCATCTTCACGCTCGCGGTCGGATAGGGAATTTTTAAGAGTCGGCTGCATGAGCTGTCATGTTCGAGCGTTGCACGGGCGCATACATTCCAGAGTAGAGCAATCTGCATTGTACCACTGCGGTAATTAGTATCGCATGCTAAGCTTTAGTGGTCTGACGTGTCTCAGTTGTTGTGGAGCAATAGCGATGAACGTTGGCGACACGTTAAATATATAACATTCAGTTGTAGTTAGTGCTTTCGAAGGGAAGTGACAGTGGTGGATTACTCAGAAGGCTTTCCTTGGCCACTGCAGTGGCAGGACATGCTCCAGCGCATAAAGGACGTTCAAGTCTTGTGACCGACCGGCTTGCTGACTTTTGGGACTCTGCAGTGAATTATAAGGAGCTGGCTCTCCCAGTATCCATCTACCCAGCTACATGGAACCCCAACAAGCCATAAAGACAAATTAACGGGCGGCGTTCTTGCACTGTTTGAAACAACAATATAGCTCGTTCCACACCGTGGTGAAATCCAGATTGATGAAGAGAAAGACCTAACATGCTGCCATGCAAAGCGCAGGCCTGAAAGAGGAAGAAAGTGGCTGCCCCTGAAGATGGAGGATTTGGGTGGTACTTTCGTTCGTCCACTGGTGATGTGACTGACTCGAAGAGCGGTCTTTCCGAGGAGAAAGTGATAGAAACAACCCCAAGTCTAAGTAGACTAACGCCTTGGACTCGCGTCAGTTTACCCAAAGTGGTGGCTGCCGCTGTCCACCCCCTGACTCGGCACTTTACAGCTTTGCCATCGCCGAAGAACTTTACGTGAATCTATGACCATCCAGCTTCCCTGCATTTGATCCCTAAATCACCTGGTCTGCAGGAAAAGAGGGGGCATCAAATTGACCCGAGCGTCAAACGATTCCAATGCCTACAGCGTCTTAGCTCATCGACCCAAACACCGCTGCTGAACGAAGTCGGAAGCCCGCGGAGGAGACTGGAGCTCGGGGTTGGCCGTTTACGAGGCTACACAGCCGGGTCTGGACTTCTTAGCCCTCTGTTTCAGGCGTAGGTGGATGCATGCGGTGCTGAGGGGCCTATTATCTGGAACGAACTTATGGTCGGGTAGCATTATGCATTGGCTGGAGACAAGGTATTATAGCCCGTGGCTGCCCTCGAACTGGCTGAGCTACTCAGTTCCTTTGTCTGAATTGTCTTGGCTGATGTGATACGAAGAGTTTATTGAGCGCTTGGACGCCCTCGTTGATGTTTGGGTCGGAGCATGGGCCTCGGATAAGGTTGATCCCTCCCGTGCCTGGGGGGGAGGGGGGGTGTTGAAGGGAAATGCTGGGTCACTCCTTTCCCTTTCTGAGATTGAGCTCCCCAGAAATCATGGCCAGGCTGGAATCTAATGGTCCCATGGCACACTCAAGGGTGACACAACCGAGCCTACCACGAGTCCCCGAGAAGCGGATCTTCATCGACGAGGATGTGCTGGTCCCCGATAGTCTTCAAAGACCCACTGTTAGATCTAGGTCAAACCCAACACCTTAGATTCTACCGACACTTTCTCTCGAGGATTTCCAGCAATATCGAGCTACTATCTGCAATATATTTGGAATCGGAGCTGTCAATTATGGTCCGGCTGAGACTCCGAGGCAGCTCCAAATTAAACTTTCTTTGTCTCCGCCAGACTGGGATGCTCGAGGTCTCCCGGTCCATCACCTGAATATAAACCCCCTGTCCAGTACCCGTTTCCCCGTTGATGACTTCAGGCTTGTCCCGTAAAGCTTCACAATGAGCAATACTGGGGGTGATGCCGCCATCATCGTGGGGTACCTCCTTGCGACGCTGGCAATCAGCATCATGGGCCTCCGGCTCTATATGCGCCGCTATCGACGACAGTCCTTCGTCATCAGCGACTATATAACCCTTTTCTGCTGCCTTCTTCTGGTCTATATCATGAATATCACTCTTGTTTTTGGGACTCTTGGTAACGTTGCCAACACATATATGGCGGGCGAAGTACCGAGTCGCGCCGATATTAAGCGTTCCCAGATGAGCAGCAAAGTCACTTATGCTGGTGCAATCATCTACTTCACCTAGTAAGTAAGCAACTGAACATGCGTACATGTGTGGCATACATGATGGATAATACTAAGACCGTCGAGTATTTGGTGCCAGAAGGCCATCGTTCTCTGCTTCATCAACCGACTTCTAGGGGTGCTTCCGTGGCCATACATATGGATTCGCCTCATGTGGGCCATACTAGGCGTCACCTACATAACGTTGCTCCTTCTCTTCCTCACTATATGCAGACCACTGAGTCTGTACTTCCAGGTCTATCCCGATCCAGGTGCGTACTTCGCGAGGTATACAGTACTTTAGTGTTAGTCGGATTGTCTAACCTGTGACCTCCTATTCCAGGCCCTTGTATCAGATCAACATACCAGTTATCAGCCCATGCCGTTTTCAACTGCGTCACCGACGTAATGCTAATTATCCTTCCGATCCACTGGCTCCTTAAGATTAGGCGTCCCTGGTACAAGTGAGTGCGAATGCTGATCCCGACGATTCTCATCCATACTAACCGATGCGAAGACGCGCCCAGCTGATTGGCCTCTTCTCCATTGGAATCGTCCTCGTGATAATTTCTGCTCTTCGTTTCCCGTTCCACCAAGGTTCACTCGACACACCCTTGCAAACAATTCTGAGCCCAATAGAGGAACTTCTCTCGGCACTGGTTGCCAACGTGCCCACATTGTACAGCCTCCGACGGGCCAGGCAGCCAGAGACGCCTCCACACCCTACGCAACCACCCCCGAAGAGACTCCCACGAGCGGTCGACAGTATCATAATTATGCAGACTGTGGATGTAGAGGAATCTCGTACAAATGATCAGACACTCTCTACGACAATAACTGATCGAGCGTTATCCACTACTATGGCCGATCGGAACCTGAAGAACGACAGCGACGGACATCTTGTTCGCAATGATCCGGAATGAAGCAAATAAGAGCATGTAGCATATAGAAGGATCTTACAGGATCTATGCATAGCATATAGTACGAGTTGATGTATATAGCGAGACGGCGGACTGACCTGATTAGCCCTCAGTGCACACATCCGGGTCCGCCATACGCAGTGCCCTCTGGACAGGGAGATTTTCGGGATACCCAGTAGCTACTGAAATTGCAGCAGCAGAAATAATGACAAGAGACCTTTACTTGGCTTAGTGTACTTAATAGTTCAGAAAATTTGCACCCTTTCCGGAATACACAAGCCACTGACCTACGCCACAATGACACCAAAGTAGTGCAAATAAGTACTAGGCAGAAGCACGAACATTATATAGAGTATATCAGACAACGTAACAGACCCATCATCCCCCATACAAATGCACACTCGAGTCCTTCGTCCACACCCGCAACCTCTTCCCAAAAAGATACATCGGCACTCCCAACACCAACGGCCCGAACGTCAGTGCCAACTGCACCATAGCAGGCAAAAAATACCCCAACTTCCTCTCCGCCAAGGGCGGCACCCAATAACTCATAGTAAACCCAAAAGTGTTCCTGGTAATCGTGATGACTGCCATAATCTCCCCAGAGACAGGTTTATACGAATCCACCGCATAAGCAACAGCAATGCTACAAATCGGCGAGACAACCAGTCCACTGAGTCCGAACCCAAACACCAGCAGAACAGGCCAAGGCCATAAATCCAGGATAGCAAATGCCCCTACCAACACCGACAGAAGTAGTAACGCAGCAAATGGAATAAGACCCAATAATCTCATCTCCGCCTCATAGACACCCTTGTTCCGCTCCGTTGCTTTCACCGCAACCCAGTCAGACAATGGCCCCGCCGTGACAAGCCCGATTATGCAACCGATCAGAAAGGCGAAGTTTGAGTAACCCACCTGCGAAGCGTTGAAATTAAAGGGCGGGGCACCGAGGACAGAAGATTCAGTGAGGTTCCAGAAGAGAACAAAGTTCGCGACGCCGGAGATAGCCATCGCGGCCCAGAATATGATCGGGTAGAGACATATGCGAAATGGGGTGAGGGTGTCTCGCAAGATGAAGGCTTTCCATTGCGGGTCCGGGGGTTGCCATAGCTTGTATTGGGCGCTGCAAGGGGATCCGGTCCCGGGCTTGGGGGGTAGTGGTTGGGTTGAGTAGATTTCTTTTAAGTCTACGGTCGGGCTGGTGTCTGTTGGGGATCCTTCGGTCTCTGGTTTCAGAGATGTGTGTGCTGTATGTCGGGGGGGTTTGGACGCGGGATCACGGTGGTATTTCGTCTCCGGGCAGAAGAGGAGGATAGTGAAGATGTTGAAGCAGGTCATAGCCATTGATAGCCAGAAGAAGCTACGCCATTCGAATCTGATATTCCATGAGTCAGCCATTCAGACTTACTCTAATGCCAACTGAGCGTGATAAATGGCCGGGGGACAGTACCTTTGCGTGATATTCCCTGAGATGACCGGCCCGAGGAAAGAGCCAAACGAGGCCGCGGTACTATAATTGTTCTGTCAGTTAAATAGCCCTTGTGTTTTGTCAGTCTTCCAACTTACAAAAAGGCTACGGTCCATCGTCCTCGCTCATACAGGAAGAAAAGATCTGCAACTGTCTGCATGGGTACGGTCTCGCAGACCGCAGCCCCTGCTCCGTTCACCACTCGAGCCACAATGAAACTCGTGTAGGAGGAGGCGAGAGCCTCCCACACATAAGAGGCGACGCTAAGCGACAAAAAAGCGATGAAAACAAAGCGACGTCCGAAGATATTGGCACAAGGAACAACGATTAAATTGAAATAGGCAAACGACAGGATACACACGCCGGTGATGAGCAGAAGTTGGGTGTTATTCAGATCGAAGGTATCAGAGAAGGCAGGAAACATTGGGCTCATGGATAATGCTGATGCTGTTGATACGAATGTGGTCACGAGCTGGGACATTATAGCTAAGTCTGTCATGGGGGAATGATGAGCGTGGCTTATTGCGTGGATTGTCTGTGAAACGTACACTTCCATTTCGGCGCCCAGTTGAGCGGATCGTGGGGATCTTCTGATGGCTGAGGGACGAGACTTATGGAGGTGAGCTACTGCTGTACATCTAGGCTCGAGAAACACCGCTCACACTATTCCAGTTTTAGATCCATGAACCAGGTGGGGATCCCTATCGTGCATTATCTCGGTCCCCGGGAGATGATCCCCATGCCCTGGGGGTGCGCTTTCTGGCGAGTCCATCTTGCTGCGGGGTGGAGCAACTAGACTGCCTGTTGCGTTGGAAATCTGATGTTGGGAGAATAACAGTATGCAGTCCTTGAGGGGGATCTGCAGCTATGAAGCTTGACTATATCTCAGAGGACCAGGTGAGGCTGAGCTGAGGATGTTAAGGGTAAGCGATGAATGACGCAAGGGGTGGACAAGGATGAGCTGGCGGAATGCAGATTTTCTGTCGATCTTCTCCCAAGCGGAATGCAGGGTTAGACAACTATCGATTCCCCGATCCATGATGAGCTGGGTGTCATGCCGTCCTTTCTCCATAGAAAAGCACAGTATCAATATGGACGGGTACCTATGTGTGGGGTGTGCCGGAAAAAGGAAGACAGACTACAAAAGACACTGGCTATATTATGAGCTGAGGATAGGAAGCTATTTCACCGCAGTCTACAGGTAGAGATAACTGTTACGGGGCATCTGTGATGGTTCTCATCGGTGTGACAGTCCGTGGAGGTTGGCATTGCAGACTATCATTGTAAATAACCCGAATGGATAGAGATATGCGGCATATGTAAGTTGCCGGCCAATGAGACACCACGTTTACATTGGATCGTTCAATAGTACTAAACACAACAGCACATCTTCTTGGGCTTATTAGAGTTCGCAACAATAACAACAATGGACATGGGTCCAATCAATGCCCTTGATGCTAGACAGCTGACTACTGCACGAAATGATTCTGACTAGATTCTCACAATAAGTATTGACGAAGCTCTTCAAACGAGCATGTAACTGAGAATTGGGAGTTATCGAGTTGTCAGCCCGCCTTATCTCGACCCACCATTGGAATGCCACTATCAGGACCAACAATTCCTGTCTATTTCTTTTTTAAAATAACGGTTCACTTTAAGCTTCTCGAGGGATCCCCAGCAGACATCTTTCTCTCCACAACTATGGAACTCTCCTAATCGTGACACTCGCATTGATAGACGATTCAATAACAATTCATGACTCTCGGAGACTAGTCAGATCGTCGTCCGTAGCATCTCCGGTATATCGCTAGAAATGTCCTCATTCGGCTCCGGACGCTCGGACGAAGGAGGATTTCACCTCCTCATCTATCCGTGGTGCCTCAGGATCGATCTCATGGTTACTGTCCGAGAACACGAAAGGCAGAACCAGCCCCGCGGACCACCCTTGCATACCCATCCGCCGTCCGCCATATCTTTGGGGATTCCTGAGGATCTTTGGCTGGCTGACTCTCTCATTTGAACCGAGGCTTTTATGCTATCCAGTGGTTTAATCCTCACGGTGAGTAGGTGACATGACAAATCAACTTCAAGCATCGCACACAATTAGGGCAAGCTCATCTGTGATCTCGATTCATTATTACAATACTATCTGTCCAATGCAATAAACGCTATTCGCCAACACCTGCAATGCAGTAAATATAAATGAAAAGCTCCAACCACCCTCACATCATCACATCATATCCATTAGTTTGCCGCCCTATCCCCAAAGTGCTGCAACTGTCCGCGGGTACGAATATAATAATGCCCGCTCTCCTCGCGCATATCGACATGCCATCGATCGCGCAAACGCGGAGTCCCCGCCGCTCCCAGCTGTGCTCCAGACCACGCATGCACCGTTCCCGGACTATTCACTGCTAAAGCGAACAGATTCGGTGGTTCTGTGAAATCTGTCACCAACTGCCCGCGTCCCTGGAAGAGAATTAACCCCAGACACATGATATTCGTCAGGAAGACCACAGCCAGAATGACATAGAACACCTGCTGCCAGTCACTCGTCCGGCCAGACGCATAGCCCGCGGACTGCAGTGTGGCGTTAAAGACCTGCACGACAGGGGTATCGAGACTAGGCTCGGAGTAATTCCAATCGGGAACAAATGGAGAGTACTGGCTACCGAGGAGGGCGGTACTCCCTGCTAAGACGGCCAGAGCCTCACTGAGCGATGGGAGTCGAGGATCCAGCGAAGAGCTATTAGTGGTGTTATCGAAGCTCGGGACCAACTCCATTAGCGTGCGTTCAATAGCGGCGTCGTCACCCTGGATGCCTGACGCGAGAGTCACCGTGTCGGCCCACTCCCATGCCACGCTTTTCCAATTTATCAGGTACTGATCCTCCGACGTGTTAGGATGTATCCGGTTGTACTGGAGCCTGTCGGCAGCGTCTTCGCAGCGTGAGCTCAAATCCCCGCCGCTCGGATCGACCTGGTACTGCGCTGAACAGCGACCTGAAAGCTTCCCGCGCATTCCGCAGAGGACATACTTCGGATCGTGGCCTGGAGGGGCACTGCCTAGTATGTAGATGGAGGTTGTGTTGTCGACTTTTGGGTTTAGGATGGTGTTGTAGGCTTCGGGGTAGATGGGGAAGACAGGAGCGCCTTGGTCTTCGCTGAAGCCGAAGAGGTCATCGACGACGGTGCGGTTCGTGTTAATCGAGTATGTTGGTGCGGCGGTTGCCCACGTCGATGCGTTAAAGGGCTTATGGTTGGGCCACTCGGTGTAGATGAGGGGTTTCAGCTCGTCATGCGACATGCCAACGCACATCACATTAATAGCAGGCGATGGGAGAGAGGCTTGGATGATGTACTTGCCCTCTCCAGACATGTCAACGGGCTGTTGGATCTTATTTGCGGGGTTGCGTGCAGCGGCGAAGAGGCCTCCGTGTGGGTAGGCGGCAGTGACGTTATTGACGACGCGACCATGTTGTTCGGATAGGGCGGTTGTATTGACGACTTCGATCCAGCGACCGGTCACTGTTGTGTTGTCGTATAGCAAGGCATGTGGCTGCGGGCGATAAGCGAGGGCGGTTGAGGTGCTATTTCCGGCTTTCAGCATTTCGGCCCAACCTTGCAGGTATTGATAGTAGTCGTGGTATGAGCGGCCGGCTATCTCCATCTCCAGACAGGTCTCATTCCAGTGTGTC